GGCCCGGGAGCCTGCGCGAGCGCGGAGGGGCTCTGCGCGGCGGATCCGCTCCCCGGCGCGCCCGCATCCCCTGCTGGCCCCAGGGCTCCGCGCGTTTGGCACCTCCGAAGGAGGCGAGGGGAGGAGGCTGGCAGCCCGAGCCGGGCGCGAGGACTGTGTCCGGGCACCAGGTGAGACGCCCGGCTCAGCCGGTGAAGTCGGGACGCCTGAAGATCGGCTACTAAATGTGGCCCCAGGGACTGGCCGTCCGGGTCACCACGTATTTCTCTCCTGGCGGGCCCTGCAGTGTTTGAAACTTGGAGACATGGTGCCCGCTCCCTGCCCCTTGAGTCTCCTCCCTCCGGTGCGGGCACTGGGAGTGCTCCCTGTCCTTGCTGTGGCGGAAGAAAATGTAGCGTCGGTGTCAGTGAGGAAAAGTGGTGCTGGCATTTTCCTTCTGCCACTGCCCTCCCTGTGGCTGTGAGTTGGTCTGCTTTTGATGAATGGCCCAGGGTGGAGGACAGTTACATTTCCTGTTGTGGATTTTCAGGAATCACTAAGGTTGCCGTCTAGCCTGCAGTCATTTATTAGTTTTCAGTTGACTGCAAGTAACATTTGAATTTAGCAGCCTGTACTTTCTGGTGCGTAGGAGCAGGTGCGCACAGACGGGGGTCTTGGAACCAACTGTGCGTGAAAAGTGGACGTTTCTGAAGTTAGAAGCCGGTCCCTCACCAGGGGCCCAAGCGTGACCCTATTTAACTTCCTGGAACACACAGATTCAGGATTCTTTGGTTTCCCCAACCCCTTTTTTCTTTTTTTTGTTTGCGGGGAGGGTGGGTAAGGGGAGAAGGGCAAAAATAGGAACCTAAATATTCCGGAAGAAACTTTTCTTAGCTTCAGCTGATGACTTACATCGGCCTCTCCCGGAGGAACCTTGGAACATCTATTGACTGATGTGGCAAAGTCCGGAATTCCACTGCAATTAGTGAATGATTATAATTTATAACCTAGTCTGTTGTGTAAGAAGTTAGATTTTGGTCTCTTAGATCCAAGAGTTCTTGTCCGTTATGATTTGTAACTGCTTCTTTACATTGAACATTTGCATATTTTGCTCTCAATGAGTTATCTTTTTTTTCTGTTGATCTTCAAAAGTTACAAGTAACGATCCACATAGTTCAGACTTAGTTACCTGTAAAAATGTCATCATACTCAAAAGTAAGGGGTTGTAGTGAAACTGGAAGCAAACTGTGACAAACAAATGGTCGCCATAAAGTCTTGATAGTGTGAAGAGCTATGGCCCTACTTTCCTCTTACCCTACCTTTTCACATACTTTATTTAATATGCCAGAGCTGCTTAAAGCTGTTTCAACTCAGTGGTGGAAAATTTGGAACTTCGAATGTTGAGTGTTGGATGTGCATCGATTTTCTCATCTTACCAAGTCATTGCATTTTTATTCTTAGCATTGTCTAGTATAAGCTCTGTTGTTTTTAGAGCATTTTCACGTAATTTCCTTTTGATAGTGCACAGACCACTGGATGCTAAATTCGGTATCTGGGTCATGGTTCCCTTCTCTGCCTTTTACCAAAATGAGCACTTCAGGAAATTATTTCTACATTTAATAAACGTGTAGAATATTTATTGTGTACTCAGACATATTGCTAGGCAGTGTAGATCCACCTGACAACCAGAAAGCCTCTTTACTCTGTACAGAGGTTTCGTTCCAGTTTGTGAGCTGACAATCAACAACAAAAAGTAAATAGAGCAATTACCTTTTGGGATTAGTTCTATGGAAGGTAATGATGATAGCTGTGCAGACAGGGCGGTTTCCAGGAACAATCGAGATACTGTATATAAAAAAAAATTTGGGTAAGTTATAGCAATCACAAACGTGGAAGGCATTAATTTCAAAATTCTATCAGATTATTATTCAAGTAAAAAAAAAAAAAGCCAGGGAATTGCAAGTGGATCAGATAATCGACTTTCTTACATAGAATTTCTAACAAAAAAAATTTTACTTCTTCTGAAAGTGTATAAAGGTAAGAATTAAACCTAGGATAACTATTATATATAAAGTACTACGGAAATATTTAACAATGAAATATAATGTTATCAGTGGAATGGTTTTCTGGCAAAAGAAAAGCTAGGAGGTATCCATGGAGACCAAATGTATGGAAATAACAGTGACTGGACCAGTGTATTTTCCCTTCTTTGTATCAGTAAAATATCTTTCTAAGCCTCACTGTTGCTTTAGTCTGAATTTTCTTCACTGTTGTGTCACACTGCTCAATTCAGGATCTGTTGTTATAGATGTGTGCACCTAACTGATTTCAGTATTTTGCTACATCATCTTTAAGGGACTTTCAGTTAACTTATTGAGTACTTACCATGTGTCTAACAGTGTACATGAAACCATGTGAAAATATAGTCTATATTTATAATGTACTATAAAGTACTATGTAAGGTAAAATGCTGTGAAGTGTCAATTATTAATAATAAAAATAATTTCATCTGGGGGGCTGGGGATTTAGCTCAGCGGCAAAAGCGCCTGCCTGGCAAGCGCAAGGTTGTGAGTTCGGTTCCCGGTACCGGAGAAAAAACCAAAAAAAAAAAAAAAAAAATTTCATCTGTATGGGACAGCATGTTCCTTCCCACACTGGGGCAGGAGGTCAGGACTTGCTGCCTCTGTCTGCCCCATTTGTGCCCTGCTTTTGGCCTAAGTGGATCTGTGTTTGGTATAGGATGTCAGCTTTAATGTATAGTGGGCTGAACTGAAGAATAGCTCTTATGGTGAGTGTGGCTGGTAGTGAAAGGAGGGAGTGAGAATGTTTGGTTAGACTGATTTGTCCACAAAGAATGATAAATTATCTGTAGGAAACAGGTTTAAACCTGAAACCAATTTTTTTTTTTTTTTAATAAAGGACTGAAGAAAACACACAGGAAATCAATCCCCCACGCTGCTGATTGGGGCTGGGGGTAGGTTGTTCTGAGGACCCCTAGGCTTTTCCTGATTCAGAGCAAATGGCAGGCTTGTAGTCTTCAGGTTTTTTACCTTCAGAGATTCCCTTTAAAATTATCACCCCCATAAGCTCCATCTTTTTGACAAACTGTTTCTGAAACAAATTGGTTATCTGTATAAAACTTCCTAAGAAGCCTTCGTGGGCCCCTGAATATTATGTCTTTCTGTCCGAACTTCTGGTCTGCTTGGGAAAACTAGCATTATCAAGTTAAGTTAGTCTTATTCCAGCCAACTGTGGAGAGCCTTGGTGTGTTAGAGAAGGGCAGATCCATGTAGATAAACGCACAGTCCTTAAAGCTTCCTGAGGTACTGAAACCAGCAGGAACTTTCGCCAGAATTCCAGGTTCGGTTGGGCATCCAGAGACCTCAGGCAAATACTTTACATGAAGAATACTTATACAAATTCAGTAGCATAGGCAGTGAGTGTGTTCACAGAATGCAGACCTTCTGCTGTCATGTGTTTGTTAAATATTCATTGACGAGCAGCTGTGGACAAGGCTCTATAGTAGTGGAAGGTGCAAGAACTCAGAAGCACGGAGTCAACTTTTATTGCTTTGGTTAACTCTCTAGTCACTTCCTCCTTTGGGACCCTAGTGGCTCGATAGCCCTGTCATCCTTAGGTGACAAGAGGTATGTGTGTTATAGGAATGCTCTGGGAGAGGACTTGTAGAAACCAAGCCAGATCTTTCAGATTTGAGGCTGTGTGCAGCCCCTTCTTCCCCTCCCACTCCTCCCCCAAGCGAGCCTCTTGTTTCTGATTGTGGAAATGTCCCATCAGATGCCCATCATCTCCCTCAGGTGTGTGGGCTGGAGCAAGGCGGAGAATGAATGTTTTTTTTTTTTTCCCTCTGGTACCGGGGATCGAACTCATGACCTTCTGCTTGCCGGGCAGGCACTGAGCCGCTGAGCTAAATCCCCAGCCCCAGCGGAGAACTAGTTGAGTGAGTCAAGGGTCTCCTCCTAGGTCCAAATCTGTGATCTCTGATTGGCGCTGAGACCAAGCCATCCAGGAAAGCAAGCAAGTGTAACTTCTTTCCACCTTGCCGTATTTACCCAGCGCTTTGAATGGGGGAGCCTGTGGTTACTCTCCCTTGGCTCTGTTCATGTTGATCTTGCTGGGCATAAAAAAATCATGCAAAAATGGTACTTATGCTGTGGCTATGGTACTTTGAATTTTCCTTTCTTTTTTTGTAGTACTGGAAACTGAACCCAGGCCCCTGTATATGGTAGGCAAGCACTCCTCCATGGAGCTACATTCCCTGCTCTGAAATTTCTCCATTTTTTTGTTTTGCTTTTTGAGACAGGATCTGGCTTTGTAGTTCAGGCTGCCCTTACCTCACTCTGTAGCACAGACTGGCCTTGAACTTGAGTAATCCTTCTGCCTCAGCCTCTCAAGTGTTGGAATTACCCGTATGGCCACCACGCTTAGCAATTTTTTTGTTTTTAAGGGAAGTATTTTGTTTTATGGGCTTGTCTCTTTGTCCAGAAAGGCCCAAGAGTTATGCATTTGTTGTTTTTTCTTTTGTTTGGTTCTGGCTTACAGTCTCTTATCAGCTTAGTATTCAGCTTCTATAACAGTAAAGAAGTAGAGTCAAGTGAAGAGTGTCTCCATGTGAGAAACAGAAGGCTCGTGTGGGTCTTTCTGATGATGGGCTCTAAGCACTTTCATCTCCAGGGCAAGACCGATTTAATTTAACAGAAATCTTAATTTAGGGTTTTGTGTGATAAAAGCCCGTGCAATTCTCATTCAATGTTTTGAGAGTTAACAGCTTACTATGTAATTTTCATAAATTCTTTTCAAGCACACTTAGCAATCTGTTGCTATCTGTAACAGCATTTGATACTTGCACACTTGATGTGATCAAAAGGAAACGAACTCATGTATTAAGTTGTCCTTATCAAGCTTATGAATGTCAGGATTTTGGAGGAACCCAAAAAAGTACTTTGCGGTTAGAAGACATTGTCGTGAGCCCATAAGCTTGGAATCCTACTGACTTTCCCATGCAGAAGGAACTGCATACGGATTACTTATTTCAGTATCTAGCATGGTATTTCTGAAAGAATTATTTTCCTCCTTAACCTAGATTTACTGAAGAAGAGAAGAATCAGGGGTGAGAAGAGAGTGTCCTGACACCTTGCTGTGGTGTTAGTGGGGTCATGGAATGAGAATGGGA